CTCAAAGTTTGGTGCAAAAACGCATGATCGCACCGGCTCGCCTGGTGCGTTCCAGCCTGGGTTTTCAATTTTGACGGGATGATGATTAATTGTTGTTTCACTGCAACGTATTATCATAGGTCATACCGACTTTGTGGAAAATGAAGTAATATATTATAGGGAGAGCAAGACCGCTAAAACTATCGAACCGGATACTTGTGGCACGCCCAAATGCCAAGCGCAACTACGCCAGGCCTTACCACTTTCAAATGCATATTACCAGTTTTCACGGGGATTGCTGCCAACCTTATTGTTTGATACGCATGAAGACAAATTGCCTAGTGTTAAATCTGTTGTTAACGTTGGCTTTTGTTTCCCTACTTTTCCCAGAACAAAAAATAATCTACACGCACAGTCCGTAATAAATATCCTTCAGTTCATGCATTATCTCAAGGCATACCATTCCTTTTTAGTTTACCTACTAGCAAAAGACATATGAAAGGCGTCAAATCAGAGATGCTCCGTATGGTGGTACTTCAAATGATCCTGCCTCTCTTTAAATAAGAATAATTTACCTCAAAAATAATGACTTTCGCGCCAGATCCCAGGAAAGAATTGCTTTGCGCGGTACTTGCAACAGTACGGTGCCACTGCTTATATTCTTTGTGCATTTAAGACCAAAACTATCGATATCTGCTGAATACGAAATTTGCACATTTTGATGATTTACACCCATATCAGTGGACCAGCTGATAAAACTCTCCAGCGCCGCCTCTCGTCCCAAATTTCTGGAAAAAAAAATCAAAAGGTGTAATGTGCGCTTAAATAAGTTCCGGAATGATTTCATTTCAGTTGTGTAGTTTCGACTGTTCATACGACAGCGCAGAGATACTCCAAGTACCCAAATCCGCCAAAGATAGTTTACTCTTCAGCTTCCATTACGTAAAATATGCTTTTATTATAAAATTATATAATATTTTTTTTCTTCTTTTCCCCCTTTTACCGTATGACTCAGAATGCAATTTGCATTCCTGCGTGTTTACAGTTTTCTGCATTTTCGCCTTTCCTTTTTTTACACCCGTAAAAACCTTGTTATACATTCGTCCCCTTTATCACATTTTTCCTATTTTAGAATGCGTTTGCATTCCCAGCCAGTTTACTTTCTTATTTTTTCTTTCATTCCCCTTTTTTAACCCCCTTAAAACCCTTATTTCCATTTTCCCCTTTTCACATTTCACTTTACCTTAATTATCATTTCACATTTTTAACCCCTCCTAAAAACTATCACATCCTCTTTTGGGGCGGTTCCTACACCTTTTATAAACCTCCCCACCATTCTTCG